AATTATTCGTTAATCTTTTAAAAACTTGTACATTAACTAATGAACAATCAAGCCTATTTAGAGGCTTCAAAATTGAGAAGAAATTTGAAAGGGACTATGAATAATTAAAAGTATATAAATTGTTGAATTAATTGTATCACCCTTTCAATTTCTAATATTAAATGACAAATTAAAACACATTAAGAATTATGAGTAGTGAGGATCCGAAAAGTATATAGACATTCATTATTTCATAACAATATTGTAATTCTTTTTTGTTAAAAAAAAAAAAAAAGGACACACACAAAATATGAGATGCCTTGCTTTATATATACGGAGTAAATTATAAATTAATCCTTTTAGTTTTAAGAAACAAATTAATTAGTTTTTCTTAAAACAAAATATATAACCACATGTAAGTTAATATTATTTTATTTAAAAAATGTATGTTTTTATCAATTTTTCTATGATATTAATTAAAAATAAAAAAATAAAACGAATTTGGAAAGAACATAAAATAAAATGAAATGAGCTAAATAATTAAATTTTGAAAAAAAAACTTATTCATTTAATAAAAAACTATAAAGACTAATTTATAATTTACTCATATTAAATAGCATTCGCATTTACCATGATTTAATTACTATTTTTTTGAAAAAAAAAAAAACAAGAAGATGAGAAAAAGAACCAAGAAAAGTAATTAATGGAGGAGGGCATCGCTAGATTAGCAAAGAAACTTTAATTGAAACAAAATTGAGAAGGAAAACGACCTGGCCTAGATAGTCATACTCATTAATAATTCCCTTCTTTCTATATATTAAACCTCCATTCTTGTTGGATAGAGAAGATGTTACGTGCTTGAGAAAAATTAATTAAGATAGCGAGAGGTGCATTGTACTTGTGAAAAGCCAGTCACACTCTTCGTTATAGTAATGGCATCATCATCAAACTCTTGACTTTAGCACTATATGCAAGCGGGGAAAAAAAAAAAACAAAAATAAAATGATCATGAATTATCTACGTAAGGCTTATAATTTAGGGTTTGCTTGGTATATAGATTGGATTATAGCTGTAATTATGGTTGTGAGGGTAGTTGTAATTTTTGCAATTTTAGTGATGATTAGAAATAAAACGTGTTTGGTTAAAAAAATTATTAACTTAAAAATCATAAAGAATATTGAAAAAAATAAAACAATTGTAAAGCTCCAAAACGTAACGTCTGATAAAAATTAAAAAAAAAAAAAAAAAAAGCTTTCGAGTTTTTTTATTTGATCCACGTACGTGAATCTCATGATCAGTTCTTATTTTTGGAAATAAGGTTGGTTGGCCTTTTTGTTGAAAAGTCAACAAGGTCACTTCCTCTTCAAGCCAAACGGGTACTTCATGGTTAAATATTCTCTAATTTTGTCACTATATGAGACTTGAGAGTGTTTACGTGGATTATTTATCTCTCCATTTTTTCTAGTAGTTTTTTTTTTTTTTCCGAAAAAAAATCTCCTCTTCACTAGTAACTAGCCTGGAACCCTTTACACGATCGGCTTTGATACGAAGACCAAAGTCAACAGCCTAATTGTGCGTCCGGTCATTTTTTTGAAGTAATAATGCAGAATCCACTCTAATTAATGTGATTTTTACAATATTGTAATGTATTGTGTCGAGATCTAGTGAAACTCGAAAATGGCAAAAAGAAGAGTTATTTTATTATGTTCAGGGATGAACCTGGACAGGAGACAAGATCCCTAGGGTCCCTAAGGTCCCACCAGTCCCATTTTCCATGGATGTATGGTGTAAGGAATCTGACTCCCCATCATTATCTCTATGATTGTTGTCACCAAGATTACAATATGTCCACTTGTATAAATACCCTGCCTATTAATGGAAATTGCAAGCCCCCTGGGTTTCTGTAGATCAATTACTTGTCACAAATCCATAGGGCAGATGTATTGATCAATGATCAGTAATGGAAATGGAGGGGCCAATGTTATAATAAAATGTGGTGTGCGAATCTAATCAAAATAAATATGAGGATCAATGTGAAGATGTAAATAAACCTCCGAAGGCCCTTTTGTTCCTTTTGGAAATGAAGTTTCACCAATTCTGAAGGGAATTTGAATTACAGTAAAATTGAAGTCCGGGTTAAGCTGAGTGTGGGATCCCCATTCTTTTTATAAATCGATTCTCCATTGCTTAAATTTCTTAATCTATTTCTCATGCTTTCGATACGTGCATATTGGATATCATAAATCATATGGACAAATCTAGAGTGCTGGAAATGAAATAAGAGCTAAAATGATATATATAGTTTGTGATAGAAGGACGAATAATATGAATAAATTTGAAACCACAATAAATAAAATTATGGAATTTATAGGATGCGAATGGAATGCCGTATTTGGAGAAGTAAAAAAGTGATTTTAACTCATTCATAAGTTCATAATTTACATAATTTTTATTCCCTATTCATTAGACTTACTAGTACTTTATATATTATACTAAGCTAATTAAAAATAAGATAATGATTTTAGATTTTGCAGGAAAAAATAGCAATTAAAGTGAATAAATCCAAGCCAAGATGCATAAAAGCCCAAACTCACGAAAGACCTAATGGAGACAACATGCAAAGCTAGGTGGGAAGGAAAAGGACACATAGGCATGTATCTTGCAAGAGAAAAAGCTACACGTTGTGTGAAATCAAGAGGAAATCCGTGTGGATGTTCGGAACAAGAAGACACATAGACAATAGAAATAAGCATGGCTTATGCAAAACAATTGACACCTTTGTGTGTGTCAACACTAAGTCGGCATTCAAGGGAGAAAGAAATGCCACAGTGGGAGAAGTTGAAAGACATGGGATGAAGAGCAAATGTGAAACGGCTACATGCTTCAACCAAGCAAGCCATGTGCCACCATCTATCAAGGCTCCAAACTCGTGTGTTTCCAAAGAGCAAACTATGTGCCTTAATCAAACAAACCATGTGCCATGATAGGTGTCCATGCGAGGCGATTGTGTGTGTTAAAACCTTATTTTTGACGTATGATATGAGGCTATAAATAGAGAAGTTAGGGTTTTACTAAGCAGGCATCCCGAGGGGGATCTAAAGAGAATGAGTGATGGCTAGTGGTCTTATTATACACTTAATTTATATTGTAATTTTCGCTTAAAGATTCAAGGCTAATTTTCCTTTTGGGGAAAGAGTGACGTGAACTTCAAAGAACAAACTATGAGATCTTTGTTTTAATTTCATAACTTATTCAAATTCGTTATCTTCTTTTCTTCCAAGTTAACTTCATAATATTGATGTTCTTAATTGCTTAGGATGCATATACTAGGTGATTGTGATCAATTGATAATTGTTAGATCAATGCTTATAATACGTAATTATTATAAAACCTTGTCGCTATCCGACGTTGAACGAAATTCTCAAAAAATTCTAGGTTTTTAGGGATTCACATATCGTTTATGATTTCTTCTAAAGATGCGAATTATTATTGGGTTTGGAGTTATCATCTAGTATTGAAGGAACCGGGAATTTAAAATAGCACTCGGTGTATAGTAAGGAGTTAGTTACGCTTTGGAAATATATCACTCACCCAAAGATGCCCTTTCCTAAGAAAAGTATCATATCTACTTCGAGTCTTAAATTTATCTCATAAAGCATTTTATTTTGTGCCCAACTTATTTTCGAATTGAACTCCAATTCTAAGTTAAATTAAGTTTTTATTTTATGATTCGATGGGGAATCTTCATCAATCCCCGAGAATGAGGAAACTTGATAATTCACCTACCTATTAACTATTGATCTAATTATTGACATTTTAATAAGAAATCGACATCGGTTTCTAAGAATTAGGAGACTCGATAATTCGTTCACCTATTAACTATTAATCTAATTATTGACATTTTAATAAGAAATCGACATCGGTCCCTAAAAATTAGAAGACTCGATAATTCATCTACCAATTAACTATTAATCTAATTATTAATAGTTCGATGAAAAATCGTCATCGATCCTTAAAAATTAGGATACTCAATAATTTTTCATCAATTAACTACTAAACTAATTTTGAAACAAAATCCTAAACTTAACTATTAGCATTCCTTTTTTCATCATTTTTATTTTTATTTTTTTATTATTTTCTATCGATGGAGAATCGTTATCAATTCCTAAAAATTAGGAGACTTGACAATTTACCTACCCATTAATCACCTATTCTAATTACTAAAATAAAAATCAATAATTGTATTAATTAAATAAATTAAAGAAAATTCAAACATTAAATTTAAATTAAGCATAAAATAAAATAACATGCACAAAATAAAATTAAGGCCTCGGGCTTTTTTATTGGTCGGTGGTCCCTCAGCCCATTGGACCTTTCCCCCTTTTTTTAGAGGAGCTTGAGATGGGTCGAAACCACCCAAGCTTTAGCCATGCAGGATGGGCTACCTTTTTCCATGGGCTAGGCTACGCCTAAACCTTTCCATTTTTTTTAACAAAAACGAAGCCTCAATTCATAAATTTTTTTTTAAAACCCATTTAACGTAGATCAAACCGTGTACCTTCCAACCTCTCATCCTTTTTTGCCTCCTCGGTTTTTTTTTTTTTAAAAAAAAAACCCAAAAAAACCTCTCCATTTATAGTGATAGAAGAAGCCCCTCGATCCTCTTTCCTCGATGTTACCCTCTAATCTGGTGAGAAGAATCTCTATCCTTTATCCTTCCTCTCTTGCTATTTTTTATTTGATTGTAAAAGGCAAAGAGGTAGTGCATTGGTTTTTTTTTTTTTTTTTTACGGATAATCGAGTTCTCTTAGTGATAAGTGGTTTAACTCACAATTGGTGTTGGTCTTTTTGATAAGGATGTTGTGTGTGGTGATGGGTGACCAAAATTATGGGTTTTAATGGTAGGGAAATCAAGAGGAAAAGATGGAATTAACAAGTTAATGGGTTTTAATAGGTGGTGATTTTGGTGAAACTTCATGACCATAAGTTTGTATGGTTCAATTGGTTATGGCAACCATTAGATGAAGGGTTTTGACAAGGTAGAGAATGTGGGTGATGATTGTGGTAGAGTAGGATACATTACCTACGGGCAATGTGGTTGTGAAAATAGAGATGGTAATGGTGGTGGTGGTGGTTTAGGAAGATATCTATGCCAAGTGTTTATGTTTTTATCTATGGAAAAAGAGCTTGTTATTTTTTGTGAGGAGGATCGAATTTAATATTGGATGGTTGACTAGAGCTAATTGGTTTGAGGTCTTAGGAAGAGAAAGACCTAGCTTTGGATGAAGATAGAGAGGTGGTCAACAAGGAATCAACTAGTGTTTTTACTTAAGGGAGGCTAGGGTGAAAATGGTTGTAGTGATGAAAGGAGTCTGTTTACTAAATGGATGTGAGGTGGTTTGTCATGGGTAGGTGAAAAGAGAGGCGAGTACTAGCTGGTTATGTGGGTCTTGGGTCAAGAGATGAGGGTTTAAGACATGGTTGATGTTTGGGTCGACTTGGAGGTAGACAAAAATGGAGATTATTGTACTAGTGGGTGATGGTGATAGAGGTTTAAGGGTTGTGACTACTATGTCAACAGTGGCTAATGACTATGAGATGGGTTTTTAGTGAAGAGTTTACTATGGTGGAGGGTTTATGGAGAGGAGATGGTTGTGATAGGGGGTGAAGATGAAGATCACGAAGGAAGAGGATGGTTGTTGTTATGAGGGAGATCGGTTGGAGCTTGGTGGAGGGAGGAATAGCCATGGCAACCATCCTTTTCTAGTGAAGAGAATTGTGGTGGCTTTACTTTTTGGTTCCCTCCTATGGTTGCTTCCTTAACATTAAGGAAGAGGTTTGCTTTTATAGGAGAAATTTAGGATTGAAAATAGTGAGTTTTTCTTTTCTTTTCTTTTCTTTTTTGTATTTTGAATTTTATATATATATATATATATATATATATATATATATATATATATATATATATATATATTATTTTTGTTCTTTTTTATTTTTTTAGTAAATTTCAAAATAAAATGAGATAAAAGAAAAATAAATAAATGAAAAATAATTAAAATAACAAAAATATCAAAAAAAATTTGTTATGATAGGTGCTCCCTCTTTATAATGCTTATGGCACAAAGTCAAACGAAAAATATGTTTTTTAATGACTTTGTATAATAAGCTTGTAAAGAAATATTTTTGTTTTTTTTGGATTTGATTGTTCTAGGTAACCGTCCTTGAAAAATAAAAATATGATAGAATGATTTTGTTATGAAGGATAGCTCGTCTCGAAAATGAAATATGTATTACATGGTCATATTCTTAAGGCGGCTCGCCTTGAAAATTTAAATATGTAATACACGACCAAGTTGATTAAGGCGGTTTGCCTTGAAAAAGTAAAATACGAGTACATGGCCAAGTTGATTAAAACGATATGCCTTGGAAAGTAAAGATGTAGTACATAGCCAAGTTGATTAAGGTGACTTATCTTGAAAAAGTAAAGATGCGATACATGGCCAAGTTGATTAAAGTGGCCTACCTTGGAAAAATAAATATACAAGTACATGACCAAGTTAATAAAGGTAGCCTACCTTGGAAAGATAAATATGCGATACATGACCAAGTTGATTAAGGTGGCTCGTCTATGAAAAATAAATATACGATACATGGCCAAGTTGATTAAGGCGACCTACCTTAGAAAAGTAAATATACGATACATGGCCAAGTTGATTAAGACAACCTCGCCTTAGAATAGTAAATATGTAGTACTTGACCAAGTTGATTAAGGTGTCCCGCCTTGAAAAAGTAAATATGTTGTACATGGTCAAGTTGATTAAGATGACTTGCCTTGGAAAATAAATATGCGATATATAGCCAAGTTGATTAAGACGAACTTACCTTGAAAAAGTAATATATAATACATAGCAAAGTTGATTAAGGCGGCCTATCTTGAAATAGTAAATATGTAGTACATGACCAAGTTGATTAAGGCGAGTTAGCCTTGAAAAGATCAATTTGCAATACATGGCCAAGTTAATTAAGGCAGCTTTACCTTGAAAAGGTAAATTAAGCTTACCTAAAAATGAGAATTGATCATTGACTTTGGGTTTTTTATGCTTGGGTGGTGTTCTATTGTAAGGTGACTCTGCTAAGAGAAACATAAGGTATTCCACCTTATCAACCTCAACTACCCCTTTGGTGCCTCATTCCGGACTTATGTACTAGATCTTATCCCGTAGTATTCCTTTCCCTCTAGGCCTAGATCACTATTCATTGTGAACTTGAGTCTTTTTTACTTTCTCCTACCAATTGAGGTAGATGGACTTTTTAAACTTTAAGGTGGTTAACCATTCATGTGTTATGGTTTAGCCCTTTGAGACCATGCTCAACTACCATGATTGCTTATCAAATTTTGATTAAGTCATTATCCTCCCTCAAGACTACTCTTTGCCCCCTCGATGGTTTTGACTACTTTATTTATGCTCAAAAGCTTACTACTTAAACCTCTATTCCTCTAATTAGCATAGTGATGCCATTGTCCGTCCGGTTGTTGAACTCGATAAGTTGCTAGATCTTTGATCTTACCCTAAGTGTTCTTAATTCGAATAAGGTCACCAAATACCCCTAAATGCTGATCAAGATTAAGCATTTATGGTTCTCTTGACACAATCACTACTTGTGTTTAGGTTTTTGTCTTTTGATGCTTGCATCACAATTCATAAATTGATCTTAAAATTTTTTTTATCACATTTTGAGAAAGATAATAAATATTTGATTTTTATGGATCAAGCCATGTACTTAAATGATTCTTTTAAAATAATTTAGATTATTTAAAAAAATGTAAAGATGCTTCGATCAAAGTACTTTCATTCATGAAGATGTCAAATTGATTCATCAAAAAGTCAAAACATGACACTTAAATGCTATGATGCAATTTTCTCAAAATGGTTGTTGGGATAAGAAAGCAAAGAATGTGTTTAGATTATGAAAAGTTTGTGCAAAAAATGATTTTGGATGTTATTGAAGACAAATAGTCAAATGATAAGACTCGTTTTGATGAATGGAACATGTTGAGTAGAAAATAATTTTAAGAAAATTAGTTTTAAAGGATAATTTTGCCTATCAATATCTTTCTTTTGTTTTTCTTTCCACCAAGTTATTTGATGAAAACTTATGATTTGATGTCATAAAGAATGATGAACAAGTACATTGATCTGGTAATGTTTTCTTGTTTTCTCAATCATTCTTCTTTTTCTTTTAAGATTAGTATCCAATAACTAAAGCAAAACTACCTTTGATCGAAAGGGCTCATAAAAGCACATAATGTAGGCTATGTCTTTGAGCTTATGAAAAAAGGATATAAAGACTCAAAAAAGTTTAAGGAGTCTTAGGACATAGGATAACTTCGTTATCTACAAAAGTCTCTTTCGGATGATGTTGTTTGTAGCCATCAATTAGGCTTTGAACTCCCCGAAAAACTTTTCTTTCTAGGCTTGTCACTATGACTTTGTCATTTTAACTATTGACTTTATTTTTCAACCTTAACTCTTATTGTTTGTTTATCCGAATTTTGACTCCCATCTTGACTTGTGACTTTTGAATTTGGAAAGTTTTTTTTTCTTGTTCTTTTTTTTTTTTTTTTGGTCTTTGTCTTTTTTGTCTTTTTTTCCCTTTCACTTTTAGGATCACCGATAAGATTCTCTCGGATATAAATTTTTGAGAGTTTCATCGACTATTTATGGACTTTGCATTCGCCCCTAGTATGAAGGGTGATCCTAGGCTAGATCATCATTAAATAAATTATCAAAGCTCAAATTGAGATAATAAGAGATAAAAGTTTATGAGATATATGAAATATGGCTTTTCTTTATCTCAATGGCTAATTTTCTTTTACCGATAAATGCTAACCTTTTTGAAAATTAGTTTGGAAAACCCTTAGGTTAACTTCGAAAAAGGAAATGATGAATGTAATTTGAGATCATGACTCGAATATGTATTGTTCATCATTATTTAATACACCAATCATTTAGTCTTTCAATTTTGGGTTTTATGAGAATTTTCTAAGCAAAACTTTCCTTCGAGAGTTAATTTGAAAAATGATGATGATAATTTTATTTTTTTTAGTTTATTTGGCTTTTTTGGCTTTTTTGGTTTCAATAAAATAAGGGCTTGCCTCCATTGCTTTCAACTCGGAAAGATTAATAAGAGGATGTATTTTTAGGTTCACCGAATTGGAGAATTATCTCTAAACTCTATTTTTCTTGCTTTAAAATTTGATTAATTTTTCGAATGTTGTTGAATGAATTTGTCATTATATTTTTTTGATGGATAAATATGTAATGTCAAATGATACTTTTAAATGAACATGTCTTGATTTCAAATCAAACAATATGAAATTATAGAAAGTGAATAAGAGTTACTCCTTCTTTCAAAGACATGACTCAATTCATGGATAGCAAAAATGTAATTGTTTTTTTGAAGTATAGATTAGAATTTGACAAAACTAAAAGATGATAGTTACAAATTATGAGCATGCACTAATTTTTAAATCACTTGGTATTTAGTATCTTTATCTCATGCATCAATAACTAGATGGTTTTGGAATAGGTTGATGTTTATGTTGGGAGTATTCAAGTCACTATCAAAGCCGATTCAATTTTTCTTGATCAAACTCGACAACTTCTTCTTAAAAGTAGGACAATCGAGTGTTATCAAAATTGAACCCAAACTTAATCAAGTCCAACAGCTTTCTTCTTAGAAACTAGATAATCATCGATGTTATACCGAGCTATAAATGACTAACATTCACATCCCTCATATGATTTATACCATGAAGGAATAGGAGGGTTCATCAAGTTAGGCAAGGATGTGCTGATTTGCTCGATGTTTATCGGACACTTGAATGTTTCATCCAATGAGAAAATTTGAGACATGGTTACCTATATTTTTTAAATTTAGAGCATCCGAAAGGAATTAACTTGTTTGTTAACTTTGACGGGGCAAATAGAATTGGTTTTGCTAATTTGGTAGACATGACTAGTAAGTTAGATTTTTGGAATGTGGTTGCATTTAAGTTTTTGGACATGGTTGTATTTGGGTTTTTTTTTTTTTCGGGATGTGGTTATATTTAGACTTTTGGATATGATCGTATTTGTTTTTGGCAAAATGCCGACTATTGTGGTTGTTAGGTTGGAGATATATTGGGTAGATGTAGGGTTTAGGATGTTTGTTGGGATTTTCATGTTTTTCATGTCTTTTTTAATTACTCCATTGATTTTTGGATCAAGAGGATTTAGTCTCAACTTGGTATATTTCACCATTCCTTCTCTTGATATCCTTGCTTTCTTTCTTCTCAAAACCATTAAGAATTTTCCTAATTTTAATTGCTTTGTATGTCAATCGATTTGGAGCAACTTTTCTATTAAATTTTTTTTTGTTAGATGAAAGCATCAGCTTGATCTCTCTATTTTTTATCTTGGTACCATCCAATCTCATACATCAACTCAAAGCAAATCCCTTCGGACTTTTGCCAAAAAAGTGTATTAATAGATTTTTATAACTTCACCATTTTGCTATCATATACATTGAGAGCCCACATACTTGGCAAATTCAAGAACTCTTAGTTT